CCACATTCTTCACATTTGTAGGGTTTCTCTCCAGTATGAATTACTTTGTGCCTACTAAGGTTTGAGGATGAAATAAAGGTTTTGCCACATTTATCACACTTGTATGGTTTCTCTCCAGAACAAATTTTCTTATGTGAAAAAAGGGTTGTGGAATGGTTAAAAGTTTTGCCACATTCTCTACATCTATAGGGTTGCTCTTCAGTATAAAGTATCTTATGTGTAGTAAGGTGTGAGGATAGGTGAAAACCTTTGCCACATTCTTCACATTTGTAGGGTTTGTCTCCAGTATGAATTTTCTTATGTGTAGTAAGGATTGAGGATCAGTTGAAGGCTTTGCCACATTTTTCACATTTGTAGGGTTTCTTTCCTGTATGAATGATCTCATGTTTACTAAGGGTTGAGGATGCAATAAAAGATTTGCCACATTTATCACACTTGTATGGTTTCTCTCCAGTATAAATTCTCTTATATGTAGTGAGGGTAGAGGAGTACTTAAAGGCTTTGCCACATTCTTCACATTTGTTGGGTTTCTCGCTAGGATGAATTTTCTTATGTATAGTAAGGGTTGAGAACTGGTTAAAAGCTTTGCCACATTCTATGCATTTGAAAGGTTTTTTCCAGTATGTTCTATCTCATGTCTGTTTGAATTTGAAAATTGATGAAAGACTTTCCCATATTTATCACATGGAAATATTTTTCTCTGGGTAGTTGTTAAACATTGATTAAGTCCATTATAACCTCTTTTGTGCACCTTACACTCATCCACACTTTCACAGACTTTTTTAAACTCTAAATTGCCATATTCACATTTTTCATATCTTCTCAGTATCACAATTTGGAAAGAATCTTGTAGGCTCTGCTCTGGACAATGGTCTCGGGCAAAACGAAAACACATAAGTGAAAGAAACAACAAAGATTGGAACAGGTAGCTTTCTGTCAATGTCCAAATCTCAATCAAAGATTATAATGTACACAAGATATTAGAGAAATATGGCCCCATGAAAAAAAAATTTCAAAAGCAATATAAACAGCATATAAAGTAATTTTTAAAATTCTACATAAATTGAACAGGCCAGGGTTGGTTATCATTCCTATAATCCCAACACACTGAGAGGCCAAGGTGGGAAAATCACATGGTCAGGAGTTTGAGACCAGCCTAGAGAACATGGTGAAACCCTGTATCTACCCAAAACACAAAAATTTA